TCAAGGTGTACGTGGATGGCCGCCGTCAAACCGAAGATTTTGAGTGGTTGTGGGTAAATCCATGGTGAACGGTGAACCTATCGGGAATATACGTGTTTGTTCAATGCAATAATTACTAATAATACCATCTGGTAAACAAACATAGCTATTGAAAATGGCCATTTATAGTGGATTTACCCATTAAAAATGGTGATTGTCCATAGTTATGTTAGTTTACCACAGAGAGTAGTTAATAATATTCATTCTTGGAACTTTGTGTGCAGGTAATTGAGCCCTTGAGTGGTTGGAAGAAAGCTAATATGTTTGACGATGATGTTGATGGTTGATAGAAGAAAATTGCACTGAAACCTGAAAGGCGTTGATGTCCAGCCCCAGTTGACGGTTGAAACCAATGGGCTATAGCTGGGCGATACATGGACAGTTGGATACGAGGAAACTACTCAAAAAATAGGTTGACATGACCAAAACAAACATAGTAGACTCAGTAGACCATGGACAAACCTACCCAATGTTTGGCAGCTGTTGTGTGGTGATCTTGACCAATGCAGGACTGTCATGCGCAATCACTGTTTGTTAAACTTTCAATGATTCTATTGTTGTTCGTAGTCCAGGCATCTACATGGGTTTCACAGACATGGGCTGTACCCCACATCCACTAAGGAAAAGTGTCAGTGTCCCCATTCGAGATGCACAAATTGGGGTACTCCCTGTAACTCTGGAGAAACACATATCATGCTTTTGATTTTATATGGCTTTACTGTATATAAATTGAATTTATTCTATATTCCCTTGCATAATAATACATACCTATAAAATATGCTTCATCATTACATGTATATATATATATACACCCATCCCACTGTGTCCCCATTTACTTTCCATCACGTCGCGTAAAATAAAGCCCAATGCTTTGGAGTTCTTGTCCCCCTTTCAGCTCAGAGTCCGGAAGAGAAATTCAGAATATCTCATACAATCTCCCATAGAATCAATGGGAATTTCAGGATCCTAAATTGAAGGTACCTACCATATATAAGGCCTATGTTTCATGCTTATGTAAGGGGATATACCCCAACATATTGGCCTTATATGGTACAGTACCTCCATTTTAGGATCCTGGAATTCCCATTGATAAAACATCCCATAAATCCATAAGACATGATTCGACTACAGTATATTAACCCCCCAAAAAGATAGAATTCAGTACGTCCTTACTTATTTTAGATTTGAATTTGACTTGTCTATCTTTTTTCTGGGTATTGCAGGGATTGCTATGTGGGGGTTTCCATAAATCGGGGTACCCCTAAATCATCCATTTGAATGGGATTTTCCATTTTGGGATATTTTAGAAATGGAATTTCATGGGATTTTCCATGTCTGGTTGGCGGTTTGTAGCATTTTTTATTTTTCCATATATTGGGAAGAATAATCCCAACTGACTTTAACTCCATCATTTTTCAGAGGGGTAGGGCGAAAAACCACCAACCAGATGATCTATGTGTGCAATACAACTATTAGTAATTGGATCTAAGATTACCCTCTGGTAAACTAACATAGCCATGGAAAATCACCATTTTTAATAGGTTAATCCACTATAAATGGCCATTTTCAATAGCTATGTTAAATTACCAGAGGGTATTGGGATTGTCCATGTTCATTTTTTCAAAAATAGGATATTCTCCCACGATCTTCCGTGAAGCCAAGGCACAGATCTGCTTGGTGTCTGGCACTTGCTGGGTGGAGTACAACCTCCCAACAGGCACCAAAAATCAGCGTTGTGCTCCGCTGCTCGTTAATGATCTTTCATGTAGCTATGCTATATATTTATATTATGTTATATTTATATATATAATAGCTAGATTTGTTTATAGCTTTAGGCTTTAGGTATCTTTAAAATTATATATACCTTTGGTTTTGCATATTGTATATACGTATATATATATATATTATATATATATATCTATGTCATATACAGCTTTTGGTGTAGGTGTGTATATATATATATGTAACAGCACATAAGTCCAAATGCTGCATGTGTGTGATAGAACCGTCGCGTTTGACCTGGTTGTGGCGCCACTGTAACGTACAAATGTGTTCCATTGGATCTCAATTGCCGATTCACCGCGCATCAATATTATACATACAGTATATATACCCTCTGGATCCCTCTGGTTATTTAACATAGCCATGGAAAGTCACCATCTTTCATAGGTGAACCATCTATAAATGGGCCATTTTCCATGGCTATGGTAAATAACCAGAGGGTGTATATATATATATATATATTTGATGAAGCATATAATCCATAGAAAGTATCCTTATGATCCATATATTCATAATAATATCAATATTATCCATATCTGAAATCCACATTATCCATAGGATATGTAATGGGGATCTCTTTGGAGATATGGTTAACCATATGTTTGGGTTTCTCTGGAAATGGGGCATACTTTGTGTTGATGATACGTTTGGTGGGCCCCCAACAAGTTATGATCTGGTTGGTGCTTTGGAACATGTTTTTTTCCATTCAGTTGGGAATCTGGGGCCCCAAAAAATATACGCAAATATATGGAGCTGCATAGAAAAGAGTACATTTCTGCATGTTTATCTTACCCTCTGGTAAACGTTTACATAATCATGGCAAATCACCTTTGTTGGGGGGGTAAATCAACTATTTCTATGGCCATGTTCAATAGCTATGAATTACCAGAGGGTAACACCCTCCCATTTGATTGTTTTATCTTACGAGGTTCAAGGCCCGTGGTTCAGGACAGCGGCGAAGCTTGCTGCGTCTAGCAGAGCTATTCCAGCTCAACCAGACGATTGAGGCCGGGCGGGAAAAAATCCGTATAATTCCCTATAGCCGACACCGAACATATGAAATACCACCCAAACGAGACCGTGGTTGAATACTAGATCTATCTATATACCTCATGCCATACCATGCCATACCATACCATACCAAGCCATACCATACATACATACATACATACATACATTACATCCATTACGTACGTTACATGCATTACATGCATGATAAGCATTACATGCATTACAAGCATTACATGCATTACAAGCATTACATGCATTACAAGCATTACATGCATTACAAGCATTACATGCATTACAAGCATTACATGCATTACATGCAGTACAAGCATTACATGCATTACAAGCATTACATGCATTACATGCATTACATGCATTACAAGCATTACATGCATTACAAACATTACATGCATTAAATGCATTACATGCATTACATGCATTACATGCATTACAAGCATTACATGCCTTTCATGCGCTACCATACGTTACATGCATTACATGCATTACATGCATTACATGCATTATTACATGCCTTTCATGCGCTACCATACATTACATACATGACAGACAGACACACAGACAGACAGACACACAGACACACAGACAGACATACAGACATACAGACATACAGACATATTTACATAAATAATAGATAAATATATATATATAATACACATATTAATGCATTTAAGTCCGGTATATATTGTCTTGGGTGATGGGATTAAACATTTCAGGGAGTAATTAAACCATCACATTATTTCAGTATTGATTTGTGTGTGTGGTTGGAAAAAAGGTTTACTGTTCCCGAGGCTACCCGAGGCTGAGAATACGGGATGATACGGGTCAAAGTTGAAGTCCATTTGAAGTCCGGTCTCCTCTGGTCATGACTAACAGTTTGCTATTGAAAATGGCCATAGAAATAGTGGATTTTCCCATTAAACATGGTGATTTTCCATAGTTATGTTAAATTACCAGAGGGTAACCTCTGGTCTCTATTGACTCAACATGTTTCAACCGTCAAAAACATCATGTTAAAACGGCCCAACCTAGTTTTGACCAGTCTGCACCGTCCTTCAGCGGATCGAAAAACACAACCCCTTGCCGCGCCAATTTTCGGCGCGGCCGAGTCGGACCGAGGTCGAGTCTGATGAATCTGATGAGGTGCGCTGCCACAAAAAATGGGTAGCCTCTGGCCATTTATGGTTGATAAAACCCATGATTTGCCTGGTAAAAATAGGGTGATGTTCCATGAAAATTGTCTCATGTTTACCAGAGGGTATATAAAAACCCTCTATTTTAAGGGAGAAACAATAGGGCAACTTTCATCACATCAGTTTCTAAAAATTGGGTTTGTTTCGGCCATGTTTGATTTAGTTCTTGATTGAATTGTGTTTAACTCGGTTCTTGTTTGTCCTCCCTCTGTCCAAATATTGGCGCTGTGATAGAATTGTCGTACATAGCTCTTGGTGGTTTTACTTCACCTTGAGCCCCTTATCCCTTCGATCGTCACCCAGTTTGGCTTCGTTGACTCTCTTGGGGTTCTGCATGTCTGTTAATGTTCAGTATAGGAATGGGTCATAATGGGTCAATACATGTCAGTTTAAGTATATTCCAACTAAGTTTTGGGGGGCATGACCATCCATTCACCATCCATTTACCAACTATTTTGGGGTCGACATGGTTTGACCGTAGGATGAAGCGAACCATTAGCCTATTTTGAAGTACCTGTTTCAGGAGGAAGATCCTGGCAACGCTCTGGATGTCATGTCAGAGGCAGCTGCAACATGAGACGAGTTGCGACAATTGCGACATGTGAGGGGTCGCAAATCTTAAGTGTTAGTCAATCTTAGTCAGTCAGATCGTTTTAGATATATTGGGTGCGACGTATCTACATCATTAGAGCACTTTTCACTTCAGTTGATTCGGATTGCGCACGTTTTGATTTGTATCGCTTTGTAGCTTCAAGGCTCAAGCACTAAACAATGACACCAACAGCATCCAAGGGCTACGCATCAAGATGTACGATGATGTGCATACCCTTTTCTGACACCTTCCCAATATTTATCACATCATCAAGGAAAAGTGGGCAAAGCTGACCATGGCTAGGCATGAATTCACCCAAGCAATCCCTGCTTAAGCCACCTCTTGTTGGCTGATCTAGGCTGCTCGCAATGTCCTGGTATAGCAAGCGATCATCACGTTGGTGGCAAGACTCGGAAAACGAATGGCGGGAGAAGGGAGCCAAGGACTCTTCCGGTACCTCCGAGACGTGGAGCCAGTCGAGAGGGAAAGCTCGGAACGAATGGGCGTCCAGGAACAAAGGTGACTGGAAAGGCCAGTCCGAGCGATCTGAGTGGTCTCAGTGGTCCAAGGGTGAATGGAGAGAAGGAGAGTGGAGCCGCTCGGACAAGGCGGATTGGACCGGAGAAAAGTCGGAGATTGAAAAAAGTCAAGGGCAGTGGGCCAAGACTGAGCCAAGGGTGGAGGTTCCACCAAATCCAGCTGCCTCCTTGGAGGACGCATTGGCAGATGTCGAAAGGCTGCTGGGTGAAAGCTTGGGCTCCACACGAAAGTTGCTGGACGAGAGTCACAGCAGCTCCAAAGAGTCGGTTCACCTGGCAACACGTGCCCTGGAGCTTCTGACGAGGCAGACAGCTGAGCCATGTCTTTGTGTGGAGGGTAATTTCTGTTTTTTTTTCAAAAGAATTTGCATGAAATTGCACCATGTGGATCCATTTGGGAGAATTTACTGGGATATTTGGTAATGGTAATATTATAATGTAATATAACAGTAGTAATATCAGGTATTGAATATCAGATCATATCATGTTCTTTCAATTTACAGGTAATATCAGCTAATCTTATAATGTTATTCTTGGGTTCCTCAAGCAAATCTAAGGATCTCAAAGGTGATGAGGATTTGAAGAATGCGAAGCATGCGAAGAACGCCCTGCGTGAGTTGCTGATGTGGCGCAACTTCGGATCAAAGATGTGGCTTCACAGCAAGCCAGATCCCATGAACTTCCAAAGATATGATGCAGAGGTCCAGAATGAATTGAAGCAGACGTTTTCAAACATTGAACAAAAGCTCATGCAGGAGCTGATCGCAGGAGATTCTTGGTCAAAGTTGGCCAGGAAGTTGAGGTTTTGTGTGGGAAATGAAGACTTTTCTGGTGAGATGCGGGCCTTGCTCAGCCGCGTGGTCAATGCCTGCGAGCGGACGAAGCGGTCCAGGCACGGCCGAAGCAATGGACGAACCAAGAGAAAGAACTGATATATACTGATATTGTATCCTCAATAGTTGGGTGATGTTAGAAAAAAAAGGATACATATAATATATATAATATATAATATATAATATATAATATATATAATATATATAATATATAATATAATATATATATGATATATTTACCAAGCTCAGAACATGAAAATATGAACAAAGAAGCAACCAATGTATCAGGCCAATGAGGCCATCCGCGTTTGCCGGCCTCATTGTTGTTAGATTGCCCTTCGATAATCATTCGATAATCAAACATGGACATGGAAAATCCATATATAAATGGAGGTTTTAAAGGATTTTAATGGACAAGAACGAAAATCCTCTAATGAATGAGAGATTCATGTTGGGTTGGCCATTTGTTGCCACGTTTGATTGGCAGGGTCTTTGATGCCCAGGCAGAAGAGATGCGTGCAGGTTCCCATGTCTGAGGCGGACGAAGTGGCATTTGAGATGATGGCGGCAGATGACGCCTTTGGGGAGCAGGTGATCCGGGATATCCGGGCAGTACGTGCCCAATTTCGGCAACCGGAAATGGCGTTTGGAACCTATCAAGCTGAGGGCCCAGCTTGGATGCAGCACATGTTGGGCTGGCCTATTCCAGGGTCAGATGCGATTTCTCAAGCGTCGACCGCACCGGGACCACAGATTCCCCTCCCAAATTTGGCTTTGAACCCATGGGCTGAGCCATTTGTTGAGCCATGGCGGAAGAATTTCTCAGCATCCAGTAGCTCCGCACCGTGAGTGCTATGGAGACGCTACAGCAAAAAACGATTCATGATGCATAGTTCGTTCATGTTCGTTCATTTTGGCTGTGTGCTGAACATGACATTCGTCACGAATTTGCAGTACTCTGCATTTTATCAAGAAAAATGCCGTCCAGTGTGAGCCTGCCGTGTGACACTGTGCGACTTGTTGGGAGGTGTTCCAAATCAAACCCGAGAAGATCTACCGGCAGGACAACTGTAGACTGATCAAATTGTCTCGCAATTTTGGTGATTGTTTCCCCCTACTCCTTGTAGTGTTTGCTCTAAAGTCATGTATGTTGTATTGTACCGTCAGTTTTTCTTTAAATCTGCTGTAGTTTAGGGCTAAATCACGGATATTGGCCCCGTTTCTTGATGGATTCCTGAAGAATTGTGAGAGTATGGGGCTGAAGCCCTTCCGGCAATTACACATGTGCAACCAGCTATTACGCTCTGGCAAGCAAACGTGGCAATTGAAAATCCTCCTATAAATGAAGGTTTGAATGGGAAAATCATCTAAGGGGATCTAAGGGGGATTTTCCATTGCTGCGTTTGATTATCAGAGGGTAAACTTGGCTGCCCTCAAGCCTTTTGAGGTCTAAGTCCAGCAAACAGTGCTTTTGTACATTGAATTTTATTGCATTTTATTTATGAATGTTCTGACCAGCAATACGGGTGAAGTCATTAATAAGTATGGAGCTTTAGAAAAATTTGGCAAAAAACCGTTGGTCAGAGTCTGAACAAGTCTCACGGTGCACAATGGAAAAGTCTTGCACATCCAAGTCGTGTTAATGTGCTATATGTTAGAATCTGTTAGAAGATAGAAGACTGTTTGCCTCTCATTTGAAGTGAGGTTCGTGCATCCGCTTTTCCGCCCCATTGTTCTGTATTATATATATAATATACAATAGCGATTCTCCACGGGCAAGACTTAGTACTTCCAAACAGGTAGACATGACATGACATGACTTGGTCAGCGGAGGTACAGAATGGCATGCCCTCTTGAGTTGCAGAAATGTGGAGTTTGTTTTTGGATATATAATGATATATACTGACTTGAATTTAGCAGACAAACATCTTGACTAAGACAGACATTGGACGTTCTATGGACCAAAACTTTTTGTCTCAAGATGTGTTGCATGAATTTTTATCCAGAAGAAAGAACATGAAAGAAGAATGTCCTAAGTGATGTTTCCCATGGCAGAGCAGCCATGATGTGAGTGCGAATCATGTCAACTCCGGATCAACGATGACTATGAACTGGTACCCCCGAGTCATCGAGTGATCAATTTCTATGAAAATTGGTAGCACCCGCCCCATTCACTGGTGTTGTTTTGTTCGTAGGACGGTCAACAAAAAACATTTGTTCGGCATGGGGATCCCAGGAGACTCGTTGGAATCCGCATGCGCCAAAAGACTCCTTCTCGAAGCCTTGGAGAGAACAGGCTATCGCTGAGGCTTCAGCGGTTTCTGGTGATTTATCATGGTCACTGGACTTGCAGAACTGTGCTTGTCGCTATCGTGTTGATCTATCGTTGAGTAGATCTGGATGATGCCTGCGATTCAAAAAGATTCAACACCATTGGTTCAACTCAGCGAAGCAAACTGTTCCACTCCTCTTCAGTCGTTTCCCAACTTCACTCGGATCAGCTTCCATGCCCCATTCCAGAATCAGTGGATTCACGTTTGAAGGCCATGACAGCATCGGAGTTGCAAGAATGGGTGCCTTGGAACGTCAATAAATTTCAAAGGTGGCCCCCCCCCCTTTGAAACCCTTGGAAAAGCTTCGGAAAACCACAGGACAACCATGGGAAAACCATAGGAACATGGTGAATTTACCAAGAAGAATGATGATTGAGTGGGAATTTATGTGGATTTATAATAGCTAAGTTGGTGGGTGTATAAGTCCTAAAAAAAACAGTAACTGTTGGGTGTATGGTAGATATAACGAACTAGTTATAAAATGGGTGGCCACCTTGTACGCATATCATATTTATATATGTTCATGGCACTTGGAAATGGTACCAGTATGGTTGCACTCCGTAACCCACATCAGCTTCACGACGTAGGGACATGTTTCCGGTGGATTTTGGTCGTGGCAAGTAGCAATCTCTAAAACTGCACTTGTTTGAAGGTTAAGATTGGTAAGTACCACCTTGTTTGAGTATGTTTGACATTTTTAAAGTACTATCATTATGTTTGACATTCATATTGGCGTGGTAAGTACCTGCCTGTTATAACCATGTGGAAAAAGAAAAGTGAGGACTGTGAAAAAGTTATGCCCTCGAATAGCGGTGGTATGTGAAGCCGAACTCAGGAGCTTGAAAGGAGGGAAGCTGAACAATCCCTGGAGCGAGAATTTTTGGAAGAGCACCAGCAGCTGCATCAGGAGCAACGAGAACGATGGAGCAGGCCAATCTGTCACATATCTTTGTACGTACTGTACATATCTGTGACATTCGGTAATTAGAACTTCAACTGCTTGGGACCAGATTCTGATCATTGAAGGTCATCAGGATATTCAGATTTGTTTGTTGACGGATTGCATTGGCTACAAATTCCTCGGTTGATTCAAAACCACGATGGGTTGAAGCGGTTGTATTTGCCGAAATGAGATCAAGTTTGTGACAGTGTTCATTCGTGGCCTTTATCTTTTCAAGGTGTTGGCAAGAGCTATTCAACGAGTTGCGTGTCCACAAGATGGAAGCACTTTGCACTTAACGTGGGTATACGATGGTACACGTGGGTTTTGAGATGTTTTGAGTGATTGATTAGTGAACATATCGGCACTGAGTTTTTTGGTCCTCAGGCGTTTGGATACGCAGCAAAGGACACTTCAAACTGCCGTAGGAACCTCGGGGCCAAGCCAATTTACTGATATCTTGCGCAGGGGCAGGACAGGTTGGTAGCTGCTTCTAAGTTATGGCTCCATTCAGAAATTCTTCAGCTGCCAGAACTGCTCCAGCCAAAGGTGGATGAAATCAAAAGCGACATGGACATCTTGAAAGAGCAGTTGTACGCCAACCACCAGGACATTGAGGCATTTGCTGCACGATATCGCCATTGTGGCTATTAGATTTCATATTTTTTTCTAGATCCTGATCTTACATTGTAAGACGGATGCGGGTCCCTTTACATACCCAAACCCGGTGAATTTCATGGATTTAATGTTGAGTCCAACTGTTTGGCACATATGCCGCACTTAGGGATCCGTATCTTGCCATCTTTCTCCTGCCATTTTGTCGCTTAAGCCATGAATTTTTGGACCATGTTTGACCCATACTGTAGCTCCGAAGGTCAGTTTCTCCGACTATGAAAACCTCTTTGAGGTGGGGAGCGGATCAGATCGCTGATGACAGCCCGCCCAATAGTCAAAAGTTGAATGATATGCTGATATGCCGCAACTCAAATATACTTTGAGTACAGTATATGGATGTGAAACATGCATCAAATACAGTATATTCAAATATGAATTTTGCATTGACAATGTATTCAACAGCATATAAAAATAATAGGATGTACCAAAGCTGTATGAATCCAGACATTTTCTATAATCGGCAAACATTCATATTCTACAATAAGTATTAATAATTTAAGATGTGATGCACAATCCACCAGTAGCTGGTGTTATATATGGGATGTCTCATCACCCTTACCAGCTTGAGGAGCGGGAGAAGATCGATGAAGCGCGGGGAGACTTTGAGAAGGCCGGTCTGTGGCTGAGGTTCCTACAATCAGATCGCGGAAAACCTGTGGATGATGGTGGGAAAATGGAGATTCTCAGATTGATCTGGTGATTTGACATGAGCAAGGGTCAAAAGACGCTATGAAAGGCTTCAATTACGATCCGCCATCACTACTCAAAATATGTGATTTACTGTGTGTAGCGATAGGGGGCCTTATGTAGCGATACCTCTTTTTAGACTTTGTTTATGATTGAAGCTTCCTGTTGGGCGCATGACTTTCCAATCTTTTGATGTCAGAGTGCGACACTGGAGCAGTCGCAGTGGGCTGGTCTTCCTGGGTAGTTGCAAGATGGCCTGTCGTCAAGTATATATGAGATAGTTACATTAAACAATATTGATATATTGGGGTATGTTGATATGCAAGAAACTAATTCATAACGCATCATGAGCTTGATGATGGTGATGATGCTGATGATGATGGTGATGGTGATGATGTTGATTCAGATAGTGACCGTGCTGAGATATGTTGAAAAAGCATCCTTGTGCGGTCACGGACCGGACGCTTCTCCAAAGCCACTGTCCAGGAGTAGAATTGCAACATGGAGCTTGTCAGAATTTCGTGTCCCTTGAAACATACACCTGAGATCACACATTTTCTGGTCCCCGTAGCGATGCCCGAAGCGATACCCCTCGATACCCAGAGCGATACCTGAAATCCATGAAATTAGGGAGTACCCCACATGGTCACTTGAAACTATACAACTTGTGCTATAGGTGGAAAAATATGGGAAGTATGAACAAGGGTACCCTCAAGTTCTTACTGGGTTAGTTCTTAAAGGGTTCATTTGGTCAGGGTTTTGCCGATTCATTTTGGCGCGGTATTAGGTTGCAAAGGAGGCGGGGTGAAGAAAAAAAGGCGCCGGAAACAAGGCAGCACAGGCAAGACAAGCCAACACAAGCCAAGGGCAGCCTCCGAGGTCAGATGACCTGCAGTGAGTCCGGCTGGTGTCTAGCTGAAGCTGTCGACGTCAGCCTTGGTGATCAAGTAAAAGTTTGAATTTCCCTGGAGATACCATCGCAAGGGGAATAAGAATCCGATTCCTCATCTGGATCCTCCTCTTCTAGCAGCAATTCTGCCTAGTTGGTGAAAAGGGTGCTGGGACTGTGTGTAGCGATAGGGGGCCTTATGAAGCGATGCCATGACCTCACCACATGAATTGAATTTTGACCGTCGCACACATGTCTTTGTCCATGCGAATGGGATGATGATCCCTAGTTTTTCAGCTCAATCTTCATGGTGGACCAAGCCAGCTGGACAGCAACATCAACTCGCAATGCATGTGTAGTTTTTTTAAGATCAATTGCAAATGCATTAATACCTGCTTGGGAGTGGGAGTGTTTTCGAAGTTGATCAGCCTGTTTCTGGCTGGTAGTTTGGAACATCTTTTATGACTTTCCATTCAGTTGGGAATATAATCATCCCAAGTGACGAACTCCATCATTTTTCAGAGGGGTAGGTCAACCACCACCACCAACCAGAGTTGATAGATGGGCAAAATCCCATTATTTATAGGGTTTCAACATGTTTCAACCATGGTTAAAACCACCAACCAGATTCCTGCAGAAATGCCAACCTAACAACTGTTAGTTGTCAGCACCGTGACCCGAAGACCATAGCTGTTCCATTAAAGCTGCCAATGAGTTGATTGATCATCATGGTTCTCCGAAAAAAAGAACTGCCGATTGATTGATTGATTGATTGATTGATTGCGTGTATATCATGTTTTCCCATTTGAACTTTCATTTAATTGATGGTTCATCATAATTTTCCCGTTTGAACTGCCAGCTAATTGATTGATCGTTAATGATTCATAGTTATATTCTTCCGATAAAGACTGCCATGGAAAATTGATGGATCCATTTGGTTTTGTTCCATTCAAAACTAGCAGATCATTGATGAAACTGTGTTTCCCATTAAACCTGCCATTGAAAACAGCGATTGATCATCTGAAGTGGTCCCATTAAAACACCTGCCAGTGAATTGATTGATCATCTGAATCATCATGTTTCCCGTTGAAACTGCTATTGAATTAATGGAAACATGTTTTCAAACTTTAAAAAACTTGGAATTAATTGTTTGATCATCATTTTTCCCCATTTAAGCTGCCAAGTATATAATTTATTGTTCACTGATTTTTCCAAGACAAAACTGCCAATTGATTGATTGATTGATTGACTGGCTGATTGATTGATTGACTGATTGACTGATTGATTGATTGATCACCTCATGTTTCCCGTTAAAACTGCCAATCAATTGATTGATAATTGATCCTCATAGTTTTCCTGTTTGAACTTTGATTTGATTGATGGATCATAATTTTCCCATTAAAGAAACTGCAAGTGACATAAATGTTCGTGGTACAGCGTCAGGAACAGGTGGCAAAACATCAGGAGTTGGTCCAGCGCGCACAGGCGCCCTTAGTTGAACGAGCTTGGAGGGGCTAAAATCATCATGGATTGACCAAGTACTCGTAGCTGGAAAAATGATTGAACCATGACCCATAGGATCCATGTATGCTATATATGGTAACATTTACCATCAATATACCCCAAATGTTAGCATATATACCATACATGGATCCTATGGGTGATGAAACACATGGTAAAATCCGGTAAATCCATTATGACTTGGGATGTTTATCAGATTTAGGGGTACTGTAGTTCTTTGGAAAGTCCAAGTCCATCGAGTTTGGAAACCTCTTTGGACGTAAGAAGCCATGGGAAATCCTGTCATGAAACCACAAGGATTTGATGTGTTTGATGTTTTTTTTTAAATGATAATGTTTATTGCAGTCAAAGTGCCCCGTGCACCACTAAAGCCATTGTTCGGCAAACTTGACTTCGTGAAGGACTTGTCAAAAGCTGATGCGGAGGACTGACCAGCCTCACGGAGTAACAGCAAAGCTATTCAGGATGGAAAATGGTCGAGTCGACCCTACCGATCAAACTGATGTAGTTTCATGATGTTTCATGGGGGGAACAACGGCTATCCGGCTATCCCCCAGGATTGGACATGGATTTGCTTCCACGTATCTTCCAGTTGTTTTCAAGTTTTTGCTATAGCCGATTATTATCGATTATTATCGATTACCCTCTGGTAAACTAACATAGCTATGGAAAATCACAATTTTTAATGGGAAAACTCACTATAAATGGCCATGTTCAATAGCTATGTTAAATTACCAGAGGGTAATTAGTAGCAACCTTGGTGCGTCAACTCGTAAACTCCGTAAATTCGGTGAGGAAATCATTCAACAAGAGTGCAGTCCTCAGCTGGTAGACTCTGCTGGGTGATGGATGGGTGATGGATGGTGGTGGTTTCAAGTAACATGTTGACACTTTTCAAATCTGTTCAACCATATTTTGGGATGATCCTGGACTAATATTTTGCAGTGTGGGTCGAAACCCCGAGATAGGTGCTCGTATGGTGCTCGTACAGTATTTGAATGGTAGTTTTAAGCATCAGCCAAAGCTTGTTAGCTAGCTGTTCATACCAAGCTTTATTTGCGAATAACCCAATGTATACCCAATGTTCATCCCTCAGTGGTTTGGTATTCGTTCCCCATCCCGAAATCATGATGTGTTTTGGATGAATCGCCAGGATCTTCGGTCGGATTTCGGTTGGAATTGACCCGGTGGGTTTGACGACCGGTTTTGACCCATCCAAGTGAGCGATGTTTTGCTTAGGACACTGGGCCTGGTCGAAGACGGGGACATCCAGTCAAAAGTGCTTGCCCTTCATAAGGAGCCGCATGCAATTGTCATAATGTGAATTGCAGATTATGATTTTCTATGTGATTTCATGTTACATTGTTAGATTTCATGGTTTACTGTGTGCTTCCAGTTTCCCAAGTTTCCCAAGCGCTCCAGGATTATCTGGAGTACTTTTCAGAGACTTCGCGGAGACGGATCGATTTGAGCCAGATTGAAGTCTTCCAGGACTTGAAAAACATGGGAAGATTTGGAAAGGGTTTTGTGCCATGATTTGACCAACAGTGGAATCTGGATCTGAGATGCTATCACTTTGGCATCACGTTGGGCGCTGAGGAGCAGGAACATGGAATCACATTGCGGTTGATTGGAGGCACGAACGTTCAAACTCGTTCACAGAACGTTCCAGCAGACTGAACGCAAAAAGCACCAACTGCAAAAGCACCAACTGCATGCTGCTGACACATTTGGGCAGTAGCAGACACTTAAAGATCTGGAAAGGCATGGCATATCTATTATCATCTATTATCCAGCAGCCAGAAAGAATATTGAGTCACTGGTTGGTGGTTTGGAACCATTTTTATTTTCCATATATATATATATATATGGGAATGTAATCATCCCAACTGACTTTAACTCCATCATTTTTCAGAGGGGTGGGTCAACCACCAACCAGTATAGATATATCACAGTATATCATGTCATATCCCACTATATCCTACTTTTTCGCCATTAAAAAAATCAGATTTTCCATGGAATAAACGATCCATTTGGGAGTAGCCATCTATAACCCATGACGGATCCATGGTGCTGGTATATATGCTAACATATCTAACATGACTGGGGTATATTGATGGGATCCATGTCACCATATATAGCAGCACCATGGATCCGTCATGGGATATAAGATGATATAAGTAATATAATTAACCATCATTAACCATTAAAGTAACCATATAATAACAGTATATTACCAACCAATGGTAGGTCAACCACCAATATTGAGTGCTAACATGTAGCCTTTTGCCACAGAAAATTCGCCACCGGAGGTCACCTCTTGGAGCTTCAGATACCTCCAGAGTCCCGAGAAAAGTGGCTGGATGCGCTGCAGCCACTGTCCTCTTGGCCGCTTTCAAATTGCCCTGGTGAAACATGGGCCACGTGGGGATTTCAATGGGGATATCTTGGGGAGATATCGATATCCCATATTTATGGATTTGATGGGCAACATCCCATTATTTATAGGGTTTCAACATGTTATAAATGTTTCAACCATCCGGTTGGTGGTGCAGGATTTCGCAACCATCCACAACAACTGTGGGGAGATATCCAAGAAGATGTGAATTGGGTATCCGAAAATGGTGGTATACACCAAGTTCTGCCAATAACATAGCCATTGTTCATGGGACATATGTGGAAATAAAGTATTATATGGCATGGAAAATTATTGAATATATCCAGACATATCTGAAGATATCGGAAATATATGGAGGTATAGGGAAACATGATGATTGACTGATTAACCATCAGCTTTGATAACTTTGTGATATTTTGGGAGTTTTCGAAAAAAAATAAACACTTGAAGATTATATCAAATTACATTGTTTTTGTTTTTCCATCTACTGGTAATATATTGTGTTCTTCTTTGCAGGCAATTTTAAGCAAATGCCGTCTCTGATTCAATGTGTGTTTTTGTGGTCTGGCCAATGGATACCAATGCACTCGCCAAATTTGCGTATGGTATCTGTGCCATCACTACCATCGATTTTTGGACGTGTTATATTTTTTTGGCCCATGCCCATTTCTAAGCAGTGTTCAAAACCTGCGCCGGTTGATGATTCAACGGGGTTACCCTCTGGTAAACTAACATAGCTATGGAAATCACCATTTTCAATGGGAAAATCCACTATAAATGGTCATTTTCAATAGCTATGTTAGTCATTACCAGAGGCTACATTCCACTGTTGAATAGTATCCAATATAATCCCCATGATCCGTTCAGGCGTTGCCTCTATTACCTCCTATTTGCGGTACCCCAATAAAGCCATCGTTGATCGTCATTTTCCCTCTAACAATAGCATTTTTTTCTGATGGAATCAGCATATCATCAACCACTAGATTTATATAGATAGATTTAGAATACTTAGAGGTTCTATGAGATTTTCCTGTAGTTTCATAATCATTCATATCGTTTTCATAAGTTGTTTTTTCCAGCTGATCTTTGGTGTTCCTCATCCACCGGGCCAGGATTAAGAGAAGCAAGGCGCTCTGAGAATTGGAAGGGAAAATCTGCAGGAAATCATAGGAAACCTGTATGATGCAGGGAAACCATGGGAAAATCCTCTGAAATTTACACCAAGCCACTGAATTAGGGCTGCGACAAGATGTTGATAGAATGTTGTATGGAACCATTCATTGTATGGAATTGCAATTGGAGTGGGGGTTCGACAACATGTGTCTGAAGCCATTTATGTATTTAATTATAAATATATATATAATTATATATAAATATATATATATAATTATATATATAAATATATATAATTATATATATATATATATAAATTCATAAGCATGGATATACAAATGTTATTCGAATGATACAAATAAAAAGTACAGGGCCGTCGTTGCAGGATCACTAGAGGTTCCCCAACCAAAACCGATCATTGATACGTATCTTACATATCGAAGTTGATTTGAGTGACTCATTCGCGAGTTCAGGCAATACAGTGCATACTGCTACATGCAATTATGATTACATGCAAATCTGATGAATATCGGTCATACGGTCACACCTCGAAATTCTGCAAGCTCTTTGTGACAGCAAAATGTGTAAGAACCTGTGCGTCGTGGAGCACGAATCTTCTAGTATGGTGTGCTTCATTCAGAGCCAGACATGAGACATTGCGCGGTCTTGCCCTTTTGACAACTCCCTCACTTGTGCAGATGCTCAAGAAACAATACACCAGAAAAAAGAGACACACTTCACAGGGATGGTGCTTGTGCCGCTGCTGCTGGTAGTTATTAATCATGATTGTGAATGATGATTCGTATTATATATTGCTGTCATATTGCTGTCATTGCTGTTGTTTTTGTGCGTTATTTATTCTTCTTGCTCTGACTTATAACCCATGACGGATCCATGGTGCTGCTATATATATGGTGACATGGATCCCATCAAGAAAAAAACCAGTCATGTTAGCAGTAATATACCAGCACCATGGATCCTATGGGTTCTAGATGGCTACTTCCAAATGGATCTTGTTGCTCTGACTTATAATATCTTACAATGTCGAAAAAGCGTCGATCTGAAAGGATTCAATGGAGTCATGGACAGCTGTGGCAGGATGAAGCTGTGTCAACTGAAGATCCACCCCTGCCTGCCCCGCTTCAGCCGCAACTGGACTTGCAACATGGGCAGCCGTCTCCAAGAAAATTGGGGGATATATAACTCCAGTTTTGTCAGTGAATATGGATGAATATGGTTCAATATAGCATCTTCAACATGAAGATTGCCATTTTTTGTGTAAATACATCATTTTCGAAGCCAGATGGTATTCACCTCAATAAGTTGGGAGATAGGCTTAAAACCCTCAAGTTTTTTTTGCCCATCCACATGGCCCCTGGTTCCATTTTCCACCAAGGCCGACTCGAAGTCAGTTGGCCTCTGCCTCGCACCTGGCCACATCAATGGTGCGTGGAGCTGGGGCAACCACCATCAATGCAGCACGCACGGCGGTGCATGCAGCAGTTGATAGCACCAGTCCAACGGCTCCTTGACAGTTGCTGGAGACGGTGTGGCATGTTTTGGCACAAGTTTGAGGTGGTATGTGGGGGTTGAATCAAGCATAAGGCAGGGGTGAGGTAAGTAAATATCTGGTTGGTGGTTTCAAACAGCCGCGGGCTCAACACCTTCCAGTGGTGCGGCTGACCCTCGCCGAACGTTGAGGTTTCGCTCACCGCTGTTAGCCATGGACCTTTGATGGACATTGGGTTGGTTGACTCTGGCTGTCCTTTGACTCTGGTCGCCAAGGTGGAAGTCTTTGACTGCGGACTTGAAAGGCACTTGTTGTGTATGGCCTACTCTGGTGGCTTTATGGTCTATCGTGGACTGCTGGATGGGGGAACTGACATGGTGACGCTGGTGGATGCTCTGGTGGAGGCTCAGTTCCTGATTCCGGTGCTTGAACAAGGCAAGGACACAAAGGTGCAGTATCATTCCACGCACTCTTGGAATGATTACTTCAGGTTGGTGGACGTCTGCTGTGGTATTGGCGGAGTTGCGCATGGAGCTCTAGATGTGGGTGTTCAAACTACAGTCTCGAATGATTGCAACACAAAGATGCTGGAGCTTCATAGGGCTCACTCTGGTGCTCACTGTACCCTTGGGGATTGGGGTAACCCTCCCAGCTGGTGCGGCCGTCCCCAGCCGAAATTTGAGGTTCTGCCCACCGATGGCAGCCATGGAAAGTTGATGGACAAAAGCAGGATCGATGCAGGTTGTCCAATGACTCACGAAGCTTTGGCTGTGGGTGCCCTCACGATGGTTGCTTATGACTGCAAAGTTCAGCTGATGGGCCTTCACAAGGCCCACTCCGGATATGACCTTGTTTCAGGGGAGGCTGGCAACTCTCAGGTTGTGGCTGAAATTTGGAGACACAGTGACCGTGCAGCCATTGGGAGTGCAGAATGTTCCTGCCAGATATGTCCATTTGGGTGCTGTGATGTTATTCCTTCAGATCAGTGGTGCCATGGCAATGGTTCGGATGGCCTTCTTGCTGCCAGTAGCAATGTTGTGCTTTCCACTCAATGCCGACAGAATGGATTGCCATCTGAAGAACTTGCTCTCAATGGACATGGTGGGCTGGGGACTTCCTTACACGTTTGTGGAAGGGGTGAAGCAATGACTATGGTGGTTGAGCAAATTCGGTTGCCAATGGCTATGTACACTATTTTGGGGTTTTGCGCTGCACTGATGCAATGCCATGTCATGGTTGCAGGCAAAGTTCGGCTCCTGACACACTTGCTTTTTCTCAGTGCCAGTAGGATTAGGGTAGCTTGTCACCCTGGTCCTGACAGGGGTGGTCCCAAGTGTGTGGCTGCCTTCCTGGCGGGGTTGTGTTGCTTAGCAACTTTTGTGATTGACCACGTTACCGGTGCAGGTCTTTGGGCCCTGTGTGAAATGTGCAGATGGCTCTTGCTCTTTTGTTTTGTGCCCTTCTGGCAGCTTTTGCTGCCCTGGGATGGGCTGCTTGTTTCGGTGCCTGTGACTGGTCAGTCGCAACCTTAGAAGCTGTTTACTACGGTCAATGTGCTGTCTTCGATCTCTAAGACAGCGCGTCGTACAAAGCGGTACAAAGTGGTGGTTTCAAACATTTTTTGTGTTTCCATAATATATGGGATAATCCTTCCCAACTGACTTTCATATTTTTCAGAGGGGTAGGTCAACCACCAACCAGAGTTGATAGATGGGCAAAATCCCATTATTTATAGGGTTTCAACATCTTTCAACCATCCGGTTGAGGTGAAATTGAGGTAAATGATGGTGACATGGTTTTTATTTGGATGATCTTCCACTGGCCCCGTGATGAGCTGCTAGAGAGTCAATAGCAAGTTTCCGGCGGCAGAGGTGTTTGTGAGAAGTGCATGCGAATAGCGACCATTATTCACCTGCACTATAATTAAATATAGATAATATGGGTCATATTGCAACATAATTAGGATTAACTTTGTGTTATTCAACATCACTATAAATATTCAATATAGTTTGGTTCAGGCACCTTCCTCTATAATTGCCCCTCTGTGTTTCGGCTGACGTGTACCGTTCTGGTTGACGTTGTCGGTGACGTTGTAAACCCCATTTTTTTTTTCTTACGTAAATTTTGACGTTGTAAACGCCGATATTTTTTTTCTTACGTAAATTTTGACGTTGTAAACGCCGATTTTTTTGTCTTACGTAAATTTTGACGTTGTAAACGCCGTTTTTTTTTGTCTTACGTAAATTTTGACGTTGTAAACGCCGTTTTTTTTTGTCTTACGTAAATTTTGACGTTGTAAACGCCAATTTTTTTCCTAACGTACATTTTGACGCTGTACCAAAGCCAAATTCTTTTTTCTTACATACATTTGGATCTTGTAAACGCCACTTTTAGTCTTGTTCATGTCATGATTGATGTTATCAACCCCAAACTTTTCTTGCTTAAAGTCATGACTGACATTGTGAGTTGTATTTTTTGTTTCCTGTGATTTTTTGCGTCATGAGTCATGATTCATGATTTACTATGCGCGCCCATTTTTGTTCATGTCGTTATTGCAATGATTGTTTTGATGTTGAGATGGGTCAATTCTTTTTTGTATTGTCACACTCCTGATTTCACAGTTTGGGTTTTGGTTTGTTTTTTGAAACTCAGCTGGCATTGAATCTGGTGGGTGTGTTTAACTTGTTTTTGTCCTTTCATTGGCCCTTCATTGGTTGGTTTTGCCGTTGTCGTCGTCGTCGTCGTCGTCGTCGTCCTCGTCCTCGTCCTCGTCCTCGTCCTCGTCCTCGTCCTCGTGGTTGTTGTTGTTGTTGTTGTTGCTCTTCTTCTTCTTCTTCTTTTTCTTCTTCTTCTTCTTCTTCTTCTTCTTTTCTTCGTTTTTCCAGTTCTTGTTCTCGTTGTTCGGTTCTTGGTGATAACCGTGCTTGTGGCTGTGGTTCCTCCATTGTGTAAAGGTCACTGTCACACATTGGTACATGGTTGCGTTGTCACATCGTCACTTCCTGCGTGTAAGTGTTGCATAATACATAATGCTGAATAAATGATGAACTAATTTGTTTCCTTAAACCTGGTAGATCCTGGTAGGCTGTGGCAAGTAAAATTGGTAGGTAACGGCAGGTAACAAGACAAGACTCACCTGCGAGAAAGGCAGGTCCGATCAATAAAGCAAAGATATAACAGGATGTATGCATGCATGCATGTCTATGTCTGTATGTATGTATGTAGGTTGTATGCGTTTTGAAACCAGGTAAAATTCGAGGCTCACGCCGCCAGCCTCATGGAGTTACCCCTCCACGGAGAAGAGGCGATGGACGGCCCCCCCCTTCCCTCCCCACCCTACTTGCTGACGCGCGCTGGGAAGACCCCCCTGTCCCCAGCCGGCTGCCGCCTTAACCCACGAACACTGACGCGCAGCAAAAAGGAGTTTGGGGGGAAAAAAAAATATGGGCAAATGTGTGGTGACACACAGGCAAATTATAGAGGCCAGTGCCTAACATGGGCACAGTCCCGAACTATCCCGAACTATCCCGAACTATCCCGAACTATATGAAATACATCCGAACGGTTCAGAACGGTTCAGGTGTCACTTCGTTTTCCTCATCCTTGCCCCCAGGATGGATCCCAGAGGACAACTGACCGCTCACGTGACAAGATTGCCTGCCTTAGACGGGTTTGGGTGTGACATATACTTTTCAGAAGATTGTGAAATTTAGCCTAAGTTTCTTCCAGCCCCGTTCTTTGGGAAAACATTCTGCCACGACTTGTGTCACAGCCTAAGTTACTTTCAGACATGCTTTTCTTCACCGAAGTTTTACTTGAAGTACCTTGACTTATGGCAATTTACAACTCACAACTTGCAACTGACATCACTTGTCTTACAACTTTTCTTCCTCTTATAATTTGTAATTAACTAATTAACTTAAAACCTCATAGCTTAAAACCTTTACTTGTTTACAAGTCATGCATCTTCAACTTGTTATGTTGTAAAAATTGCCCACTTTTTAAGCTTAGAATCTAAGGCAAAAACCTGATACGCCTGAACCGTTCTGAACCGTTCGGATGTATCGGAGGCCTGAGTTCGGATTAGTTCGGAATAGTTCGGGATAGTTCGGAGACGCCTGAACCGTTCTGAACCGTTCGGATGTATCAGAAACTGATACGCCTGAACCGTTCTGAACCGTTCGGATGTACCAGAAATTTACAATGTTTTTTTTTCAAATATTTTTCTATATTTTTTGAACTTAACTTGAACTTAGTTTTTAAACATGTAATTTTATCATCATTGACATGGATAACTGGATAACTTATTGATAACTTAATAACCTTTCAACTGGTGGGCTGACAAAAACACATACTTTAACCTACCTTATCACTTATCAGAATATTGAATCAAAACTTCATAATCATAATGAATCAAAAATGCCAAATTTACAGCATAAAAAATTACGTCGGGAAAAAACGCCAAATTTACAACAACAAAATTTACGTCGGGAAAAAACGCCAAATTTACAACAACAAAATTTACGTGAGGGAAAAAACACCAAATTTACAACATCAATATTTACATGAGAAAAAAACGCCAAATTTGCAACACCAAAATTTACATGAGCAAAAAAAACGCCAAATTTACAACATCAAAATTTACGTGAGAAAAAAAAACGCCAAATTTACAACATCAAAATTTACGCGAGAAAAAAAAACGCCAAATTTACAACATCAAAATTTACGTGAGAAAAAAAAAAGCCAAATTTACAACATCAAAATTTACGTGAGAAAAAAAAAACGCCAAATTTACAACATCAAAATTTACGCGAGAAAAAAAACGCCAAATCTAAAACATCAAAATTTACGTGGAAAAAAAAAACGAGAAATTCACAACATCACTTACAACATCGAGGACAACATTGGACGTGTGCCAAAACATTGATAGAGGCAGGTGCCCGAACCAAAATATAGTTCAATATATTGCAATATTCAACTGTTCCTACCTGTTCCTCTACAATATACTTGAAACATTTTTAAACATCTTGAATTAAAACCCAAAACAATTTAGAGTCAACCCCATGTTTGAGCACGAACAGATTTGGCAGCCAATCTTTGGCGACGATGGCAATTCGTGTTGGTTCTGATGCATCCGCTGCATCCACATGTTCACAGCGGAGCTGGATGGTTTCATGACAATCATCCCATATCAGGTATGAATCACCACCTGAAATCCCATATGTTGCTGGGATGAACCGTTCAACTCCCCAAAAAAACCAACAATTTTGGGGTGAACAGTTTGGGATCAACGGTTTCACGCTCGCGTCAAGTCGAGGCTTCCCTGGGCGCAGTGCCTTTTGTGGATGTGCTTTCCGTGCATGCGGCATGTTTACGTCCTCGTCATGAGGTCACAAGTAGCTGGGAAGTGAATGGCCTGCTACAAAAAGTAGATGGCGCATATAATATCATATGGATGTGGGTCAAAATGGAAGACCTAGGGGACTACAGATGTTAGTCTAGTTTAGTGTTCACCATCCAATTATTGGGGTACCTAATTTTGACCCATACCCATATAATTATATAGATGATTTACTTTAAAATCATGGATATCATGGTGATGTTCCAGTGCGCAAACTGCTAAATGACCGGAGGGTATACCGTATGTAGCTGGCTATTGAAGATGTCATACTGATCCCATGCCATTGCAACGCATTCAAATTTAGCCATCTAATCCCTGGTTGATGGATGTTGATGGTTTTGTTTAGGTTTTGATAGGTTATTTTAGTGAGTTTTACAGCTGTTATTAGGCCATTTAAGAAAGAATGGTATGGTATTTTGAAATGCTTCATGGTTTAATTTTGCATCATTTGTTTTTACAGATATGCGTGGCAGACCGGTGCTATGGCTGTGCACGCAGCAGCGGATGCGGCAGCTGCAGTTTCGCGTCGGCTCCAACGAGGGAACCAAAGGCAGGTAAGAATGGTGTTGTTGATATACAGTATACATATACTACAAAGATGATATAATATATGATATACTCACATATATAGTATAATATACTATAAGAAATATATATATATACATACACGTAACTTGGTAAACATAAAACCTAGAAGTTCCTACTGCAAATTGAACTAATACTGGTTATACATTGATGGCCACCGGTGAAGGACACTGGAGTCACTGGAGAAGGAGCAAATCCCGACCTCGTTTTAGTGAGGCCGGGGCCGGGTCGACATGGTTTCTGCCGACATGTTTCTCCATGGAGGACCCGATTTTCTGGCAATTGAATACCCATAGGATCCATGTATGGTATATATGGTAACATTTACCATCAATATACCCCCAATGTTAGTATATATACCATACATGGATCCTATGGGATATGAAATTTAATATGAACTTATGACAAACTATGACATGTTGGGGTATCCAGTATCCCCTGTGGAGCTCAAAAAAATTCTCTGAGGTGAGCGAGTTTGAGCCAGTTGAAGTGCTAGCTGAGCCTCACTGCTCGGTCTTGCAGTTGGAGAACTGGAGGACTTTCCAGCGACTTTTTATGGCTTAAACTTGTGAAGAATTGATGTCAGAAAGAGGCAGAAGTCCCGTGCCGTTGAAATGGCGAAACTGCAATGCCGAGAAAAGAGGTGCCGTTGATCTTCGTTGAATACACGCAGAAATAGTTTTCTTTCAGAGCCCTTCTCTAAGAGTAGTGCTCTGCATTCGCAGAATTGCGACGAAAGTTTTCTGGTGTGGCAAATCCGATGTGTTCACGACGTATTTGTACTACTGTGTGATTGTCACAAGACCCACCAACGATGTGAACAGGTGAGTCCAGACATTCTTCAGAAGTCACTCATTGCATTTGTTCCCAAACCGACACCAAAGAAAGGACACTCTTGACACGCCGGAACGAATTTGGTTGTCGGTGCGTTGAGTCTTGCTAAAAGCAACTCCAGTTTTTGGATGTTTTTGGCGTGTCGCAGTTGGGCATGGACAAAAAGAATCAACCCAGGCTCAGTTGGAGCATTAACGATCCAGCATGACGTTCCAGTTGAGAGCCTAGAGCTGACCGGAGATGAGCTTCCCCGTGGCCACCGTCCATAGGTTTCCATAGTCATGGGATACCCCAACAGCTGGATGATTTATAATGGACAATTTCATTAAAATTTATGATTTAGGACATTTTAGGGACATAATACCCCATGATACCCGCATTTGAGGAAACCTCCATGTTCTTAGTTATCTTTGTTGTTCAAGGATCTATTCCCAAAATTCGTGACGCTTGTGCAAAAAAGTATTTGCAAAGGTGCCATGTGACGTGGCTTCCATTCAGAGGCCGATCAAAAGATATCCCAGACAGCTCATTTCCCCACAGAAAATGAGAAAGAACTTGGATGATCACCTGGTAAGCTCCCAGCAATAATAGTCAGTGCTGCTGTTAGTTGTGCCACAGTTCTGCGACACGGTCTCTGCAGCCATTGTTTTGAGACCAAAGTTTTGTGCAAAGGTTCCAGATATTTTCAGATTGCATCATGTCCTTGGCTGGTGCTGGCCTTCCAAGCGTGCTGCCCGCCGACAAGCTGGCTGAACTCAAGGAGACAGCGGCCAAACTCTGCGCACCAGGCCGGTGGAAAGATAAGAACTGCTCAAAGTACCATCTGGTAATTTAACATAGCTATTGAAAATGACCATATATAGTTGATTTTCCCATTAAAAATGGGGATGTTCCATAGTTATGTTAAATTACCAGAGGGTACCATCTTGGCTGATCTTGGCGAAGTGCATAGTGCAAGTGTTGGACAAAAATCTCTGCAGGTGCCTGTGTTGGTATCAATTTTCGGGTCTCGTTTCCGAGGCAAGGGCTTCTTGGCCGCTGATGAAAGCGCTGGGCCGTGGCTCAGGGCGGGTCATGCAGAAGCAGCAAAGATTCCAGACACTGGGCCCTTTTGCGCCTTTCTTTTGCGGGTTGGGAGTGGACGGACATAGATTGACATGGATTGAAAACATCTTGCAGATTGTTGCAGATTATGAGATTATGGCTGGTGAAAATGTAAGGATTTTTGCAATCTGGAGCATCCGTAAGCGTTGTTCAGCAACTGTGCTGATTGATGCAGCCTGGCAGTGGAATTAATAAAATTAAAGCTTGCCAGCAGACAGAAAGTGCTGTCAGTTGAGGATGTGATCGAGAACAGGGCGGCATACCGATCGCTGTGCTTCTCATCTCCCGGTTTGAGCGAAAGCATCAGCGGAGTGATTCTCCACTGGGAGACCCTGTTTCAAAAGGATGCAACTGGCAAGGCCATGGTGGACATCATCAAGGAGAATGGCATGATTCCTGGTATCAAGGTGGACAAGGGCTACAACAAGAAGCTTGGAATTGCTGGTGTTTTTGTTTACAAATGCCAATTACAGTACAGTATTGTTCGCAGTGTTTAAAACTGTTGGTTGATGATTTTTGGGGGGTCTAAAAAACTCACCAATATGGAAATCCCTATGAAGTGAATCCACGATTTGGGGAATCTACTGTGAATAGCTCCCGTTCAGACATGATCTTGATCTGATTATCCATAGCTAAGCGAATGGTTGGATTACTGGAAGGTGGGTGAATTGTGAATAGATGCATAGTATATGTATATAAGTATATGTTTTTTGCTTAACTATCTTAACTATCATTATTTATCCATGATTTTTCATTATCGAAGATATTGATAGCTAGATCATCTATTTACCAGCTAAATGGGAATCAACCGTCAAAAAGATGGAACAAAAGAAAAAAAACACAAATCTTCTAAAAACAACAGACAACATGATCAATTAACATCTTAATTAATCCGTTCTATATTTTTTGAGGCTTAAACATGGTTAAACTATATGTTGTTTTATAACCTTTGCGGCACATCTCTGGCGCACCAAGGAAGGGCATCTGGGGAACCCCAAGTGGTCCCTTGGGACACCCGGAGGTGGCCACCGTGGGCTTGGATGATCTGCAGCAAAGGTGCCAGCAGGCGTTGCTGCCACTGACATGGTAAATGATGGTAAATTCAAGTGAACTGGGATGAACTGGGGGAACATGTGGGAAATGATGGTTCAATTTATGGTAAATTATGGCAAATGATAGATACTATAGATGATGAAAGCCACATATTGCCACTTTCGGGTGGAAAATAGGCAATATTTTACCTATAGCTCCAGAGTTTCAGAGATGTTACTGGTATCTCTTTGTTCGGCCATTTTCCCCATATCTGGTGTCCTCCCAGCCCTTGGCAGGCTTATGAGCAGGGTGCCCGTTTTGCCAAGTGGCGAAACGTGCTGCAGTTGGACCCCGCGAAGCAACTGCCCTCAGAGCTGGCCATTGCGGATACAGTGCACACCTTGGCCCGCTATGCCTCCATTTGTCAGAGCGAGGGGTTGGTGCCCATTGTGGAACCTGAAATCGTTCCCAATGGCCACTGTGCTTTTGTTAGTTGAGGGCTTGGGAACACTCTTTTTTTTTCAAATGATGCTCTGCGGTGTTTTCCAGAACTTGGCCTCTTGTTTGAACTGAGGCGATCATGACATCTACTACTGCGCCCAAATGACCGAGAAGGTCTTGGCTGCGCAGTTCAAGGCCCTGGCAGACCACCACATCTACTTGGAAGGTGCTGTGCTGAAGCCCAACATGGTGAAGAATGGCCTGGGTGGCCCGAAAGCCACGGCTGAGACCATTGCTACTCTGACTTGCCAAACTTTGCTGCGCACTGTGCCTCCCTCCATGCCGGGCATCTTTTTCTTGTCGGGTGAGACAGCTCTGAATGAAGACAACGAGGAAGAGGCAACCATCAACTTAAGCACCATGAACAGTCTGTTTGCCGGCAAGCTGCCGTGGCACCTCTCCTTCTCCTATGGAAAAGCTTTGCAGAAGACATGTATCGTCACTTGGCTAGGCAAGGCTGAGAACGTGGATGCTGCCCAAAAGGCCTTGAAGGCACGAGCCAAGGCAAACTCTGATGCTTGCTTTGGAAAGTACAAAGCCGGCAGTTGTGCCAGTGTCGGCACTGACGGCAACGTGATGCAAGCTGCTGGACCTTACTGAGGCACTTGATCACAGTGAGGAAGGAGTAGGCAACTGACTCAGAAGAATTCCTTCAAACAATCAGCCAGTTTGAGCAATGTTGCGTAATGTTGCGACAAGATCAGCACCTGGTGATTCCTGATCAAGGAAACGCAATGATTGAACACTCCTTAAAGCGCTTAAAGACATTTAAAGACTTGAGATGCAGTGCCATTCTTTCCTCACATGTCAAAAACGCCTACGTTTTTGGAGCTCTGACAGGTGAGCTCGCTACGAGGGATACAACTGTGATTGTTTCTGTATAGGAGATCTGGTTGGTGGTTTGGAATGTTTGGAACATTTTCTTTTTCAGGGGTGGCTCAACCACCAACCAGAGATGTAAAATTGCTTCTCTCTGGAAATTCGCCAGATTTGCATGTCACCTGAGGGGTTTCTTTTTTCATTGTCAAGATTCGCCAGAAACACGAGCACAAACCATCCATCAATAGAATTAGAAGGATCATTAATGATCATTATCCAAACTTGTCCATCTTATTATTAGATCCTAAATCACTTGTTCGAGGTTGGTTTCAAAGTGCGATGTCTTGAGTTCCGGAAGATTTTGAGCTCAAGCAGGGCGAAGCATACATGAGGTCCTGCGAATGACGGTCAGGAAGATTCTTCGTAAGTAAGGAGTCTTTGCAAAAAGGAGCTTTCGACGATTTCAAGCAGGTTTGTTTGAACATCATATTCCCCAAAAGCTGATGCTGATGGTTTTTTTCCCTTAGATCAACTTGCGGCCATGTTTGAGGTATCCATGAGTATCTTCAGAGACTTTCAATTACTTCGACATGAACCATTCCAAAGCTGTGAAGCACCGGAAGAGCCCCTCCCCATTGATTTGTGGTTGGCTCAAGATTTCGCGGCCGTGACGAAACGCCCGGTGGTGCCGCGTGGTGCCGGTTCTGCGGCATGCCTCGTCTCTTCAAGGGCCAAGCGTTGTACGTGGTGGAGGAACATCAGCTGGTTCCGCAGATAGTGCAGGAGGTGACAGAAGCCGCCAAAACAGCCATCGATGCCAAGGGAAGCTTTAGCAGCTGGGTATAGATGGGTTACCCTGGGCCAATTTATAGGATTTATATATAATTATACATATATATATATATATTATATATATACATTCATTTGTCAAAGATGTGCAAAAATGGTGGTTTTTCATTGCTGTCTTAACTTACCAGAGGGTAAGTTTTGACCTTGAAAGAGATCTTTATGGAGAAATTGCTGCAAGATTGATGCTGCATGAGGTTGGCAAAAGAAAATTATGTTTGAGGAAGAAATGTGTAGGAGATAGTTCGAAGAAAGCTTTAGCCAGAGCGACGTTGAGGTAATGTCTTTTTTCCTTGGTCCTGATCCAGGTCCTCAAATTCAGCCTTGAATCATAAGTTCCCAGATCGTTACAGAACGACTTTCAAAAGACGGTTCTAACTTGCCTCGCAACCAGTTTCAATGACCGAACAATAGCGGCAATTAATACTCGTACTATCATTACTGATTGGTGGTTTGGAACATTTTTTCTTTTTCCATATATTGGGAATAATCATCCCAACTGAGTAATATTTTTCAGAGGGGTGGCTCAACCACCAACCAGATTATCATTATCTAGGGAATCCCTCATGAACCAACAATTTCTTGTGATTTTCCGTCGCTTTTTGAGCTCGCTCAGGTCTTTGTGTGGCAAGGCCAGTCATACCAGCTCTAAAAGACTTGTCGCCTGAAGCGCTGGATTGGAGCAAGGTGAGCGTCTTCTTCACAGGAGAGTTTCTTGTCCGATCCGCCGTCCGCCACAGCAATCATGGATGCTGGAGGGTTTTTCCAGGGGTTGGTAAATGTACTGTTTTAGGGGATTTTGAACATCACTTTCAAGTATTTGTTGGTGATTATATCCCCAATAGTTGGGTGATGTTCAAGTAGGACATTTACCAACCCCTGTTTTCCAAGGGCACATGGGTGTATCCAGTGTCTAGGCACAGCCAAACTGAGGCTTCTGGGCGCCAACAAAGCCTACACGGAAGCCCTCGAAGCATTCTGCAGGAAGTGCGGCATTCAGCCCCTCAGTGACAAAGGATATGCTGGAGATTGTTCCTCACATGCTAGGGGTAGATTCCAAGACTATGATCAGTACATCCTGATCATGTTGGAGAAGAGTTGAAGTCCCAAATTGTGTTGTTTTGTTTCTTCTGCATTATCACAAGTGCACCAAGGATTAATTACTGTACCCTAAAAAACAAGCATGACTTCAATGACAATGGAAACTTCCCATGCTTGTTACCAAAACATAATCCATTAAATGGAGGGGTCCATGGCCAGGCTCCGCTGGAATGTCAGTGAGATCCAGCGAGTATGCAAGAAAAACTCATTACAAAGCCATCTGATTTGTCTCATTTTCTTATTGAAATTATCTGAAATTGCATTATGTATTGTGTATTGGAGTCTTGGAGTTGATCCTTTATTCTTGGAACCCGATTGTTATATTATCCGATTCTTGCGCTTTATAATATAGATCCCATTGAACCCAATCATATTGCAGTACATCCCCCAAACAGATTGTCATATCATGTGACGTTTCTCCATGTCACTTGTACCCAGGGGCGTCTTCTACCCTATCTTGCGGCCGCTCTTCAGTACCGGCTCCGGGTTACCACCCTTCGCAGTGAAGGAGGCAGCGGCGGCCTACGATGCCCTGCTAAGGAATCATCCATCCATCGACAACTCGGGGAAGGTCCCATCCTTTGAGCCTTGGTTTTGGTGTTTTTTTGGGTGTCTCTTTTTGTTGGAGGCTTTAAGGATTGCTTTTTGTTTGGATGTGGAAATATGTCGAAGTGTTCAACCAGACCGTGTTTTTCGCAATTATAGCCTGGACAAGTTTGGCATGGCCAGTCATGTGGAAGATATGTTTGGACTTTGACTTTTGACGAAGTTGGTACAGTACGGTCGGGTGGATTAAAGGTGAAAACTAATGAACACTTTAATTTAACTGTACCTGTAAAATATGGTGAATGTGTTTTTAACTCCTTTGGCCAAAAGCTTTGAGGTTCCATAAATTTGGAGATGTTCTTTCACAGGCTTGAGAGACCATGGTATAAATCTAGCCATAAAGCCATACCTTCTGGTATTTTAACAGTTTACGATGGAAAATCACCATTTTTTGTAGGTTATTCATCTATAAATGGTCGATTTTCCATAGCTATGTTAGTCTACCAGAGGGTAAGTATCTATAAGATGAATCTCATCCACAGAATCCACGGATTTCGGGATGTCATCACCTGCAGATTCAATGGATTTTGGGATGTGGTTTTAACATGTTTTAACTGAAATATGCTATACCTCAGAATTCTGGGATTAATCGATTGATGAATCATCATTGTTCCATAGCCCATAGGATCCATGTATGTTATATATGGTAACATTTACCATCAATATACCCCAAATATCCCCAAATGTCACCATATATACCAGCACCATGGATCCATATTTGTTCCATAGTGCTTCATATGTTCCACAGATTCATTTTCGGCTTGTTCCTTAAGCCATTCCAGGTGATTCCATCGTTGAGATCTCCTGAGGACTTGGTGTTGCTGGGACTTGGAGATGACGGTCACATTGGGTCCCTACAGCCTGAGAGCCAAGAGATCAGAGCCAAGGGAGAAGCGATGTTGAGCATTTGCCCTTCGGCTTCAATCTTCGTGATGTTTTTTTTGGAGATTTATGGTGGTTTAATGGGATTTAATGGGATTTTATGGTGGTCTAATGGGATCTAATGGAATTTACCCTCTGGTAAACGTTTACAAAAAACTATAGAAAGATCCACCATGCTATCAATGGGTAAATCCACTATTTCTATGGCAATTTTCAATAGCTATGTTAGTTTACCAGAGGGTATATGATGTTATTTTGGAGATTTCCCACAAGAAAAAATATGGAGGTACCACGAGGTACCCCAAAATTGAAAGAAAATTGTTGATGATCAATGGGAATGCCAGCATGCAGACAGGGATGGGTTAAAATAACATGTTAAAACCTACTGTCTTGTGAGATTATTGGGGATGGGTTGAATTCCTATTGTTTCAACATTTTCTGGTGGATGAAGATCCATCAATCCAGGTATTTGGATATTCACTGGCTCAGTTTGGTATAGTTCTTTCATCCGTTTTTTTGTCTGCGGGTGGGGTACCACCATGATAGGGAATTTTAAGTGGGACAAAATGATAATGTGTGAAATGTTTTCATTGAAACCCAGGGTCAATAACCCCTGTTTTTTTTGGGGGGGGATTCCCGGGTACCACACTGCCAATGTCCATAATGTTCCTGGATTTTCAAGGCCAGCCGGGCAAGAACGAGATTGCCGCCTCCATGGATTTGATCTGTGCGGCCAAAAGGGCCATAGTGATGGCCAGTGGGTCACCAAAGAAGGATGCACTGCGACAAGCGTTGTCCAAGGTGCACGGGCCCTACGATTGCCCCGCGGCTTTGGTCAAGGCGAGAATGTCGGGTATTGTCTCAATTGGCAGGATTGGTAAAGTTAGGATGTGCATATAGAATATATAATAACATATATATATGCATATGATATAGAACTACATGTATCTATATATATATATATATTATATATATATATTATTTAATTACTAGTATATATATTTGTATTTATATACCTGGAAAACCGTAAGACAAAATTGTTTGATTTACGGGTTTGTTTTTGTTACGGGTAAAACCCAGAACGGACAACAAACATTGTCCATACGGGTTCCTAGGTATACATGTACTACATGCCTAGGAACCCATCCATACATCATCCTGAAGTAGATAGAATATGAGAGGAAATAGAGTATATCAATAAGCCCATTTACTCTCCAGCCGCATCCACTTAAAGGATCATTCAAGTACCTCCAAATGGACCGAAGATGCCTCGAAAGCAGGCCCAGTCGACAAGTTGGTTCGTGGACAAAGCCGCGTTCGGCGACTTTGACAGGACTCCGTTGCTTCCTTAGTTTTAAGATGAAAATTGGATACTGTACTCTATGGACTAAGGATATCCAAGAATTGAACATCAATCGATCAATTATTTTTCAGATGAAAATCGACTACTCCACAGGGGGTATCCTGAATGAAATGGTTCGATACTACGGAAGCGGATCGAAGGCAGCTATAGATTTGCACCTATGGCCATGGTTCAAAATCATAAACAGTTCCAGATTGCAATGCGTCCTACCAAAAAGAGATCAATGTGTATTTGATATTGTGGTAAAAAAGTATTTGTATCCCCATGATATACCCATGATATACCCATGATATCCCCATGATATCCCCATAAACTCCATGGTTTTTATTAAGTCATCATTGTTGGGGACCGGGATCGGCCGGGGAGGACCTCCACCTTGCATGGTGGTCTGCCCAGTATGCTGCCCATGGAACGCCTCGAGGAATTGAAGGAAACTGCTCGGAAGCTTTGTGCACCAGGCCCCCGAAGCCTGCGAAGCCTGGTGATCCTGGTGAAACTACAACCCCCACCCAGGTAGGATTTGAGCATCGGATTCCGCATATCCTTTGACATGCTCAAATCTAAAAAGCCCAGGGCTAGCGTTTTTTGATTGTCCAAAACCTAAAACCCAAAAACCCTAAAAAAAACAAAATCCTAAAAACCTAAACCCTAAATTAAAACCCTAAATCCTAAAAACCTAAAGTTCCTAAAGTAAAAATCGCTGCGTATAGCCAGTGTGTTCATTCATCCTCTGATGACAAGTATATGATATTGTTTGGGTGTGCTATTTGGGTGTGGGCGAACGTGGGGTTTGGCGCCAACATGTTTTGGTGATGATAGCATATGAATATTATAAGAAAATCAGAACATACGTACAGAGGATATACCATAGATATCCATAGATCTAAATAGAATTAAATAGACTCAATTTTGGATGGTTTGGTTCGGTGCTTGAGTTGAGGTGACCAGTAGTGGTTCTATGTTTTCCTCTCCAGCCAGGGAAATATTATTTCGCAGCATTGCCCAACCCCTTGGGATTGCCGTAACCTCTGAAAGGTGCATCCATGAGATAGACATCATGGGTTATCATCAACTCCCAGTACAACCCTGTCTTTTTCAGATATGGTGTTGTCTGAAAATGGTGTCCTCTGCAAACTGCCAATGTTAGATACTTTAAATGAGAACCTGATTTTCTGAACCATCGGCTTCAGCGTTGAAAAAACAGCAGATACATGCAGATAAACCAATATGTAACCTCTTCCCCCAGTTGAGCAGTGTTCAATCCCTGTTGGTTGAGGATTATATAGTTCGGGGGTTGTCAACATTCAAGACTATCATCATCCATTTTCACTGGAATAGCGTTCTCAACACAGCAGGACCACAATAGATTAAATTCATACACCTCTAGGTTTAGGGAACACTTCTTCGATTTTTGCTTGAGTTCCCCACACTCAGTATGTGGTTATTTTAGGTTCGTAAGTCGAGTTTCGTAAGTGAACTCCCATGGCCAGGCAAGGGTTTCCTGGCTGCAGATGAGAGCGCTGGGCCTTGGCTTCGGGCAGGGCATGCTGAGGCAGCTCAGATACCAGAGACTTCGCAGGGGAAAAATCCTTTTGGTCTGCCATGGGGATACCATGGGTTACCCATGAAGTGGCAGTTTTCGCATACGTCATATGTTTTTGATGGGAAATATGTGAATTATTATGTGTACGGTTAATTATGGATTATTGTTTTTCAATGAATTATTGTTACATGGAGAGTATGGGGAAATCATCACCTACATCCTGGAGAAACTGTTCTCTCTTTTTTGGGGTCCTTAGATATAATGAGCAACAGAATGGGTAACCAATGGGAATGCACTTTTTTCTTTGGAGATGGGGATAGAATTATGGGTGGATAGCAACATATGGGGGTCATTTAACTTGAGCCTTGTAACAGAGGATACCCAAAGGATTGATGCTGATCTGAAGAAATGGCCATGGGGAATCGTCTCTGCAACGCACACGAGACTGTTCGTCCTTGGATTTATTGGGTGCTGCACGGAATTCACTATATTCACTCTGTTTTAGTAATAGCGCCTGGTTTGTTGTACTGACAACGAGTTGGTGAGATTCCTATCGAAGTAGCCCACGCTGTCAGTTGAGGATGTGATCGAGAACCGGGCGGCATACCGATCGCTGTGCTTCTCAACTCCCGGTTTGAGCGAAAGCATCAGCGGAGTGATTCTCCACTGGGAGACGCTGTTTCAAGAGGATGCAACTGGAAAGGCCATGGTGGACATCATCAAGGGGAATGGCATGATTCCTGGTATCAAGGTGGACAAGGGCTACAACAAGAAGGGCATCTGGGGAACCTCAACGGGTCCCTTGGGACACCCAGAGGTGGCCACCTTAGGCTTGGATGATTTGCAGCAAAGGTGCCAGCAGGCCTACAAGGACCCCATCCCATCAAGAATAAACAGTTCAATCATGGGGGAGCATGGGGGATGTATTATTGGGGACCAAACCGCTAGCCTTAACACAGTTTTACCTATGTTTGGTGCATCAAACATGGGGAGATAAGCACAAAACCTTCATTACCAATAGGGGACGACCCATTTGGGGGGGGCGGGGGATTTTAATACTTTTGGTGATGGGTCTACTTCCCAAGTTCTTACCATATGTATAAACATCAGTATATAGTATATATATATACTATATATATATATATTGTATATATATAGTTATATATAGTGTGTATATATATAGTATATATATATATATATTGTATATATATATATAAAGTATATATATATTGTATATATATATATATTAAATTATATTATATTATATTGTAGTATATGTTATTTTTATATTATATCATATTATATCATATGATATCATATTATATCATATTATATCATATCATATCACATTATATTATCTGATATATTGGATTGAACGCGCAATGGCGGAAATTATCACCCCATATGTATATATATATAATATGTTCCTCAGTCTATGGCATGTTGCTTTCATTTTAGCAATCCGCTCCCACAGGAGGGGGTGCGCTTTGCAAAATGGCGCAACGTTTTGCAGATGGATCCCGCTAAAGGCAGTCTCCGCATCGGAACACCTCGGAAGGGATTAGAATTTCCCCTGTGGATTGATCTGGCTGGTGGTTTGGATCATTTTTTATTTTCCCATATTGGGAAGAATCATCCCAAGTGACTTTCATATTTTTATATATTTTTCAGAGGGGTTCAAACCACCAAGCAGTTGATGTTAATTGGTGATTTTTTGGGGGTTATACTAGCTGATTTTTGGGGATCACTATGACCAGTGATGGGGATACCTATCATACAATGGCCGTTGTTGCAATACTGCTTGACCCAAGTCTTCGTCAAACCCATTCAAATAATTTGAAGTTTTTTGGTCTTTATGAAGCTTCCACAGGGGTGCGATTGTCCCATGAGACAAGTATATGTTTCAAACATCACCAACCACAATGATGTTTGGGCCGAAGTGACGTTCCAGTGCGACATGGGTTACCACAGCCGCGCTCCATGAATGGATAAGTCACACATGAACATTCGAGAAAAATCCCGGAAGCAACATAAAAATACCATAAATCATACTATTATGATCTATGATGTGCGAAAGATATCTTTCCAATAATACATATATATATAATATATATATGTTCCAAAAGGTTTTGAACCATGGTTAAATTGTCTATTGTGCAGCTCATCCCAGAGATCTCAGCTCCAGGATTGCCAAGTGAGTTGGCTATCAAGGACACAGTGCATACCTTGGCACGCTATGCCTCCATCTGTCAGAGCGAGGGGTTGGTGCCCATCGTGGAACCCGAAACTCGGAGCAATTCGGAGCAATTTGCTCCGAGTTTCAACCATTGAAAATTGGGAGTTCACTTATTTAACCATCAACAAATTAGGCATTTAATGGCATCCATCTCAGCAAAAATATAGGGGGTTCGTGTTGACTTCACCAAATTAGAGACTTCAACAGCAACAATGGGAAATCCTTCACGGGTTCACCAAGCTTAGCTGTGTCACTGTGTCTGAAAATGGGGAACCAATGGATTCTGAGGTAGCACATTTTCAGAGAAACACACCTAGGAAGTCGAGAATAACCATCATATCTTTCATAACCCACCTGAATATGCACATCTTACATGGCTTATATCCGGGTAAAAAGGTGTGGTAGATCTGGGTTGTAAACCCATTGCTAAGTGAGATGCACATCCAAGAAATTGATCCTGCCATGAGTTGGTCAAGTTTGAAAGACTTGGTTGAGCCATGTTGAGCCGAAGGATCGGCGATGGTCTGATTTTACCAAGAATTATATAAGATGATTTGGATACAACAAGAACGATTAAGAAATACGACAAACTATATCAATCGATTAATTTGTGTTTGAGGGTTTAGTTAACTATACCCAAAAAATGTCAATAAAGGTTTGAATATGTTTGAACATCAAGTTATCAGAAGGACCCCGTATTTTTTCATTAACCGCCTCTGAATTCCGACAAAGTGCAAAGCTCTATAAAGCAAGAAGTCACCACCGTTAATTCCTTTAGTCGAATCTGAGTCAATGCAATGTGTGTCTTGTCGAAAGTGATTTTGAACATGTTTGAACTATGTGATGCTTGCATCGGTCCAGCACAGTCCGTTTGACCCCTGTGATACCATGATGTTTGGTGTCCAGGAAATCGTGCCCAACGGAGATCACGACATCTACTACTGTGCAGAGGTGACAAGCAAGGTCTTGGCTGCGCAGTTCAAGGCATTGTCAGCTCACCATGTCTACTTGGAGGGTGCTGTGCTGAAGCCCAACATGGTGAAGAATGGCCTGGGTGGCCCGAAAGCCACGGCTGAGACCATTGCGACCCTGACTTGCCAAACTTTGCTGCGCACTGTGCCTCCCTCCATGCCGGGCATCTTTTTCTTGTCGGGTGAGACAGCTCTGAATGAAGACAACGAGGAAGAGGCAACCATCAACTTAAGCACCATGAACAGTCTGTTTGCCGGCAAGCTGCCGTGGCACCTCTCCTTCTCCTATGGAAAAGCTTTGCAGAAGACTTGTATTGTCACTTGGCTAGGCAAGGCTGAGAACAAGGATGCTGCCCAAAAGGCCTTGAAGGCACGAGCCAAGGCAAACTCTGATGCTTGCTTTGGCAAGTACAAAGCCGGCAGTTGTGCCAGTGTCGGCACTGACGGCAACGTGATGCAAGCTGCTGGACCTTACTGAGGCTATGCCTTGAAGGAGTATCAGGATGGAACTGAGCTTGTAAAATTCATTTGAAGAAATTCAAGAAGCCGAAACGAGTCAGTTCAGATGCGGAAATTCCTTCCAAAACGGTGTGGCCTCTCCTGGTTTTTGGCACGTTTTGATGTTTTTTTGTACAGGAACCGAGACTGCAGCCGCTGCTCGTTTTGTTTCGCACCAGTTTGGTGCCTGTAGCCTGCAGTCTTTAGGCATACCATTACCTCAGCGGGAGAATATCACCTGCCATGAGCATTGAGGGGTTGATGCTGGTTGCCTGCTTGATCAGGGCTGAGAGCATTGGAACACCTTCCAATGGCCTTGTATGCAGCTTCAGAGAGTCCTGTTGACTTTTGATTCGTTGAGACTTTGAGAAAGTTGATGTGATCCCAGATGATTCCCCCAAATCAACAGAGTTTGTCCAAGAATGTGAAGTCAACTGGAGTGTTGTTGAATGAGTCGTTGGCTCTGAAGGAAGGAAAGTGTGCGCAGGGCTTAGCATTCATTTTCCTACATTTTTTGATATGTTTATGGTGGTGTTATTTTTGTTTCAAGTTTCTTTCTGTCATGTACCGGATTGTTCTGCGACATCATGACTCTCACAATTTATCTTGAAGCACTTTGTAATCTGATGTAATGTAGTAAATCCAACAATAAAGAATCCCCCAAATCACCAAAGATCAGTTGTATAAACCATCCCCAAGTGGTAGGTTTATTATTGGGTTTCCCACATTAGTTATTGTTTACATGCAAGTGGTTGACATGAGTTTGTCTGAAAATGTGTGGTATCCCAAATTTTCATGGTTTATCAATGCATCATCATGTTCCCTCAAATTTGGGGATTCATGATTCATTGGATAAATCACTATATGTTTGATGGCTAAAAGGTTACATCATATTACATCCGTATATTTGCTGATTAAGTGATTAACCACCATTTTTTGGTTGGCATTGTTTGGCCATCAAGAGTCGTTAAATGTGACGTCGTCACAGCTTCTGAAAAACTGAAGCGTTCTGTTGTCGTAGCGTTAGGCGCCGCTTCTGCTGCAACGTGATTTTTGAACTTGGTCAAATCAATGGGGGAATACTAGGAGTATAACTGGTTGGTGGTTTGGAATATAATGGGGAATACCGTAGTTGTTGGTTATTCATGGTTAATTATTATATGATGTTATGTTATTATTACTGTATGTGTTTCACAAAATCCCTGTATGGTGGTTTGGAACATTGCTTTTATTTTCCATTTCATATATGGGATATCATCCTTCCCATTGACAAACTCATATTTTTCAAGATGGTTGAAACCACCAACCAGATGTGGATTTATTCAGATAAATGGGGAAACCAAGATTTCTTCAGATGGAAATGGGATGATTAATTTGGATTTACTCCAGAGTTAGCCATGCTTGATTACCAGAGGGCATGTTCTCAATGTGCCGATTTTTTGGTGATGCCTCAGCATGCTGGCTAAAATAGCATCCGCAAGGATCCGAGCTTACAAAGGGCAGCCCTGAAGCCGAGCTTTAGAGTGACTTGACGGAAATCGTTCGAAACATGAAGTCATCTTTGATTACCCTCTGGTTATTTATCATAGCCATGGAAAATGACCCATTTATAGATGGTTTACCTATTAAAAATGGTGATTTTCCATGGCTATGTTAAATATCCAGATGGTATACTATATTTTGCAGTAGATTTACAGAAGACAACAAGATCAACAAGGGTTTGAATACAGTGAACACATTATTCACTACTAAGTTGGCTATTTGGCATGTTCATTCCAGACTTGCTACACCAGAAGTTGCAGGGAGCCAACTGAGTTTCCCTGGGCCTGCGGGACTCGGGCAGATAGTTCAAGTATCAAGTTAATATATATATATATATTGCAATATACGCCTATATGATTGCAAGTTTGTTATGGCTCACTCTCTAAAATGGTTGTACTCTATCGTTGTAAACACAGAGCTTACATTCAAAGGGAGACACCGTGACCCAAGGCATTGCACAGAACTTGAATGAAAAAGCGGCCTGTTTCACAAGCTCCATGGTTTCCCCCCAATGTTTCAGGCCATTTGGTTCTGGACATGACTTAGTGAAGCTGCCTCTTTTTGGGGATATGATTGGAACATATCGAAAGGAACATCTTGAAGGACGTTCGAGGCCCTGCCATCCACGGTTTTCGCCTCACATGGCCGCACCGCGCCGTGCCATGGAAAATTGATGAGGAGGCCGTAGCTGCTACATGACGCACTCGGAGCAGAGGCGGGAATGGTGAGGAGGTAAGTCCAGGTTGGCTTGGCACTTGCGACATCTTGCGACCTGGGCAACAGGATTGGATATCCTCAGTTGTATGAATATCATCTATGGGCTATTAACATCTACAAACATCTATAAACGTCTATATATATAGTCTATAAACGTTTGTAAACGTCTACAAACATCTATAGAAACATCTATATATATAAACATCATTAATCATCTATAAACATCTATAAATTGTTTTCTAACCATTTGGACCCCTCCCCCAGATTGGAAGATTGGATCTGCCGCATGTGCAGGGGTGCTTGGTACAAGGAGGGCTGCATAGGCACCTTGGATCTGGGTTAGAATGATAAGAGGGAACTACACCTGAAATCATTCAATGACATAACCATCAATGATATCAAGAATGATCAATATATATATATATGTAGTAATGTAGTGTAGTGTAATGGAATGGAATGGAATGTAATGGAATGGAATGGAATGTAATGGAATGGAATGTAATGTATGTATGTCTGTACAATATTATTATATAATATAAGGTTGATTTATCTGATATTTAATGTGTACCCTTTGGTTGTTTAACAGTTTGCTATATAAAATCACCGTTAGCATCATAGGTACATCATTGAACTAGAAGGGTCATTTATACCATAGCAATCAATAGCAAACTGTTAAATAACTATAGAGTAACTAGAGTCTATCTGAGTTATTCTTGATATCATTGATGGTTTTGTCAACTAGAGTCGCTAGAGCAATCAGGCAGGAGTCCCTTGACCAAGTCAAGTTGAAGTCAAAGCAGGCCTGCAGGCCACAGTCAACAGTGAGTCCACCATGACTTGTTCATGTGGACAAACCTGAAATATTCCTAGCATCTCCACGGAAGGTTGAGGATCTGATATTGAAATCCTTTGGTTTGTCTGAACATGGGATACCCAGACATCATCCCCAATGTTTATCATCATGTTTCCAATTGAAGTCGTCATTTTGGGGTATGCCCCATTTCTAGACAGGCGCAGTCGTCAGATTGTTAGTTACAGTATATCCCGTGAGGAACTTATCCCAAAAAAATGTGAGTTGTATCTCATCAATATCCCATTCATATCCCCTACCAAAATGCTCTCCCGACATGCCATGCTGGTACGTAATCTCTATCCCTTCTCCCGCTTTGACTAAACATCCCCCATAAACCATGGTGGGATAAAGAAACCTACAGGATGGGGCCCTCCAGTTATAAGATGTTATAAGTTAGTTTATAACCCCATCCAAATGTAGTTACAAGATGTTATAAGTATCATGCACTATGAACTATGATTATTATAGTTATATATAAACCAACTGAACGCTAACGAACTGGGGCCCCATCCTGACTGGAGAGTTCAGCAGCCGCCTGGCGCGCAGCTTTTGGTACTGGCATCCTCTACGGTGCCACCAATGCTTTGGTGGGCCATCCTATGGATACCGTGAAGGCGAGGCTGCCGTGGGATGGATGACCAAAATAAGTCATATATACATGATGTAAACATATATATATATATACACATACCGAACTGGAAAATCACCATGTTTGATAGGTAAATCAACTATAAATGGCCATTTTCCATAGTTATCTTAAATTACCAGAGGGTATATATATATACATATATATACATAAAAACCATGAACATGTTTTGACCGAACATGGTCCTTCATAGATTTGGGGACATGGACAAGCCAATGCCCTCCTTGGGATGATCCATGCCCGTGCTTTGAAGCTCCACGCTTGGAGTTCCTAGCTATGGATATAAATGGCCCATTTACATCCATTTACAGTATAGTGGAATATATGGATTTGATTTCTAACTATATATATGGAATATATATATATGGAAAAAATATATATATATGGGATATATATATATGGATGAATAGCTATAGATGATTTGATTGATTAACGGTGATTTCCCATAGCTATGTGAAAAAAAAACGGAGAGTATCATGAAACCTGCAATTTCTCCATGGCTCTGCCGCGCAAAGGCAAAGATGCAAGCTCAGGCCCTGCTGATCTGTTTCGGGTACCTGGATGCGTATTGTGAAGTTGGGATTTTTTCGGATTGTTCTCAAAGTTTCTATCATTTACCCTTCTGGTAATTTAACAAAGCTATTGAACATGGCCCATTTATAGTTGATTTATATACCTATTAAAGATGGTGATTTTCCAGTTCGCTATGTTAGTTTACCAGAGGGTACTTCGATGTGTTTTTCCGAAAATGATGCCGGAACATCATGGGGATCCTATCAGAGACCCAGATCCACTGGGTGTTTCGCAGCGCAGGTGGGGTTCATTTCTGGCCAGGACTGGGTGGATTCGAATGGTTGCGGGGTTGCCATAGCAACCTCAGAGATCGGCTGGATTTGGAGCATTGAAAAATGGTTTTTCCATGAACTTTAGGTGACTGTTCATGAGTACAGGATACGAGCTTTGTATCATTCTGCTGCTCTTGCTGTGACTTGTATCTTCAACACGAATGCTGCTGGCTTGAGCAGCGCCATGAACTCAGCACAGCCAAAACAGTTGAAGTCAAGTTGTAGAAAAGCCTTTGGTTTTCCAGAATCCCATCAAAATCCCATATAAAAAACCCATCAGCATCCCATATTCCTGAGGTTTTCCAAGACTCTACAACTGGACCAAGTACAGCAAAAAGGGCTGTGACTCAACGTGCTGCAACTGGCTATCCAAACCG